AGAGAAAGGGAGACAGAGAAGTCACTAAAGAGGATGGGTTTTAATGCAAATCATCCAGATTCTTTTAAACCTGAGGAATTAAATCTTTCCTCCACACATCTCCAACTTAAATCCCAACACAAGATCTTTTTTCACTAGGCAAAGAAAAGCTCAAGAGGACACAGGACAGGACAGGAAAACATTAAGGATGCACATGGCTTATTTGGAGAAAATTTACTAATTTTCTTAACAGGATGTAATAATATACAGCAGTGGAGCCCAGATCAGCAACCCTTTGTGCTAGAGGCTGAGCAAGCATTTAGTAAATGTTAGATCCTGCCCCAAAGTTCTTGCGATCTAAAAAGAACAAGACGTAACAGGTGAAGGAGATAAATAGGAAGCCTAGAGTGGGTCGATAATGGTAGCAAGGAAAGGAAGCTAGCCAATCAGCAGCAAAAATCACAGCTCACTACACCTGCCTAGTCCATACTGCAGGTTTCTGCCATCATATGAAAGAGGGGAATTTTGTGCAGTTTTGCCACAGTAGCTTTGGTAAAGACCAAGCAAGATGTCATTAGGTAGAACGCTTGCACCAGCAGACAAAACTGGCCTTTGGTATAGCCTACCCTTCTCATTTATATGGGCTTATATACAGCATATGTGTTATCTTAAAGGCTTTATAAACTCATCCAGGAAACAGATATGATAATAGACAATAAACCTTCAATGGGCTAGTGATGAAAGTAGATCAAAGCTGTGCAGCCATATATTTTTTTCTAATTTAATTATCCTCTTTAGAATATGATACTTTAACCCCAAGTCACCCACTGAAAAGTACTGCCACATACAGTGTATCAAAAGCTGTTATCATCTGAATCCATAATGAAAGGACCGAAGCTACCTGATAACAAGTAGGGCTGCAGACATAATGACATGGTGCAGAAACCAATGAAATTTATTAGAACAAAGCATGAGGTGCATTAATTTTATTTGTTTCTTGTCAGCAGTCATGGCTTCCACTGTCGGCATTGAATGATTTGTTTATAACCTTTGCCTTTGTTACTATTTTATTGCCTGTCAGAAGTTATTTGTCAGCAAAGCATTCAGTTCACCTTATGAAAGAGAAGGTTCCTTGGTTTGATTTATGGATCAAGGATTGTTTTAATGATTTCAT